TTATTCATAATCTTAGCAGTTTCTGGCCAGTTTCTTTGTGACCTCTAGGCCCGAGCTAGTCTCCCTCTCTCTTCTTCATCGCAAATGGTCACTCTTAGTGTTGCATCTCTTACGCCTCTCCTTCTCTCCTCCCTGTGCTATCTCTGTAACCGTCTCACTCTTCGTGTCCCTCGTGGCAGTTCCAACTCTGCATCTATTTTGCATTACTCTGCAGGGCAGCACAGAGCGATATATCTGAAGTTTTTTTGACTTAGTTTATGAGCAGCTGAGTGCTTTTCACCTAAGCCATGGTGTGGTGAGTTTACCTTGGCTAAGGGCCAACCCCCCACCCAGCCGCTCCCTCACACTCCCCCTCCTCAACAGAGCAGGGGGAGAAAATAAGATGAAAAAGCTTGTGAGTTCAGATAAAGACAGGGAGACCACCAATTACTGTCATGGGCAAAACAGCATTTAATTTATTGCCAGTTAAAATAGACTTGGATAGTGAGAGACAAAACAAAAATTGAAACACCACCTTCTCCCCCCCAGCTCAGCTTCACTCCTTTATTCCTCTGTGTCCCCCCCGAGTGGTGCAGGGGGACGGGGGGTTGTGGTCAGTCTGTAACAGCTTCTCTCTGCTGCTCCTTTCCCCTGCTCCAGCGTGTGTCCCTCCCACGGGTGACAACTCCTTGAGGAAAAATCTGCTCCAGCATGAGCTCTTCAGGGGACACGATTCCTTCAGGGAATATCCACCCGCTCCCCCGGGGTCTCCCTGCGGGCTGCAGGGGAATCTCTGCTCCGGCTCCCGGAGCATCTCCTTCGTCCCTGACCCGACTGTTCACAGGGCGCGCTCTCACTTTTTCCCCCCTCGCTCCTCAGGGCTCTGGCATTTTTGCCCTTTCTTAAATACGCTTTCACAGAGGCACCACCAGCTGCGGTGACGGGCTCAGCTGTGGCTGTGGTGGGGGTGCTCTGCGGAACCGGCGGGAACCGGCGGGAACCAGGAGGGGCAGCGCCGGCCTCTCCTC